CTCCTCTCCTCTCCTCTCCTCTCCTCTCCTCTCCTCTCCTCTCCTCTCCTCTCCTCTCCTCCTTTTTTCCCTTTTTCTCTCCTCTTCTCTTTCTTTTTTCTTCTTTTTCCTCTTTCTTTATTTTTTCCCTTTCTCTTCTTTCCTTTCGTTTTCTCATTTCTCCCCCCCTTTGTTTTTCCCCTTCATTCCTTTTCTCTTTCACCTGTGCTCACACAGAGTCCAATCTAAACCCCCCATTAAAAAGGGAACCTTTTTAATGACATTTTGGATCAGGCCCTGAGATCCCTGCAGGGACCGAGGAGGGTGGGGGGCAGGATTTACATTTCATGGCTTTTAAGGAATCTGAAGTACGGCAGAGAACAGAGCTTTCCAAGGCTGAGTTTCCCAAATCTATGTGGATATATGACAGAGTGTGTATATGATTAAGTTTAAAGCCCTCTCTAACAGCAAGCAGGCACATTCCCTTCCCTGCAGCCTGAACCCCACTTCTCCAATTTTAAAACAAAAATGCTTTGCCAAAGCCTTGGGAGCTGACAGGGATGGGGAAGGAATTAGTTTTAGCTCTCCGAGGCACTTGGGGCTGTTGCACTGAGACGTTAGAGACGATGAAAATGAGCCCCAAAGTGAACCAAATAAGACCTAGCTCTTTACATTTTTTTTCTCCCTTCTTTTTCTCCCTCCCTCCCTCCCCTAAAACATAAGTATTTCCAGAATCACCGATGAAAGCCGTTTGATATGTAGGAAGAGATGTGCCGTCTGCAGCGCGATTCAGTGTTTGCAGAGTGGGATGAACAGATTTTCCTTTCCATAGGGTTTCCTCCTGCAAAGTCATTGTAGAGGAGGGAATATCGTAAGATTAAATCTGTTTCAAAAACTATATTCATGTCACACCAGATACAGTCTCCAGACTGCGCGCAGTCTTTCAGCTCCCTTCATTGTGAAATCCTTTTAAAACAACACCGCGTGGAGCTGAAAACGTATTCCAGCATAGCTCTCACCCCAGCTCAGCCAGATGAAATAAAGGGCAGTTATCAGCCCTCTGGAATTAACCGATCTGCTCTGTGTCTCTGGCTGCTGTAGCACTGTCTAGCTTTCTGAGGCTCTTTCCTTATTAATAAGCTGATAGTTCAGCGGAGCTGCTAATGGATCGATGCCCCTGGGGGAGCAGGCGGTCCCCTCTGCCGGGTGCTGTGACACCACCAGGATGGAGCTGGAGCTGTCTGTGGGAAATGGATGTGCATGGGAGCAGGGAGAGCAAGTTAACCAAAGGGACACAGCAGAATTCCCGTATTTAGGAAAGGCAGATCGGCTCGCTGCCTGACCTCATTTAGCATACAAAGATTTGCTCCGTGTGTGTTGAATTGTTTTTTCTTCATTTAAATTGGATTTTAAATATATGTTGACAGTAGGAATTGGTACAGCGCGAGCAACCGCGGGAGCAGTGACAGCTCTGCTTTTGTTACTGAACTACTGTCTGGGAAATAAGGGAATGTGTACACAAACGGATTCTTATTTTGCCAATGACATTAGCACAGCTGATAATAACCATTAAGAGAACGATGCCGAAAGCGGCGTGCTCTCAGGTCATAGGAGGTAGTGCTCACCGGTGAGATGTTTTTAAGGTAACTTCTTGGTGAGATTCTCCTGCTATTCGTGCAGAGGAGAGGCCAGATGTGCAAGGAACGTTTCGCGTTAAGCTGTGTTAATTTTCTTCTTCTTACAGCTAACGAGCAGCACAAGCAACTGTCTGAGTTAAATACAGGATTTGAATATAAGAGGCCCTATTTGCACAGTAGTGGCACAACAGACATGTTTTACAGTGCTAAGAATTCCTTTTAATAACAGCATATTTTAATGTATTTACTAAATTAGGTACCCGAGAGAATCTTCTACAACGGTGATGTGAAAATCCCTGTTACCTGAGGTCAGAACAAAAGGTATGTTCCCACTTTCCTTTGCACTTTACCTATCTGGGGAGGGTGCTGGGCTTCCCCTTGCCCAATGGGAATGTGCTCTGTGGGGTGAAGCTGACTTCAGGTGCACAGAGCATCCACAGTGCTGGGCTTTGCTCTTCTGTCAGCCGTCCCATGTCCCACCCACCGCTCATCTATAATCCTCTGCAAATGTTTTCTTTCTTTCCCTTCGAATGCTGGCGTTCAGGCATCGGCTACAGAGATTAAGGGTCTCCTGAAGATGTCCCTCAGCTCTGGGTGGAAGTCATGAGGCTGTGTGTGTTAGGCAGCTCCTAGTTCACAATAGGGTCTAAATCAGCACTGCTTCTTCTCGTGGAACTTGTTTTCATTTAGACTCTCATTGACTACAAAATACACTGTCAGGAAAATGTGGGGATTAAGCGTTCAGTTCCTTCCCCTGCTAGGTTCAAACAGGCATGCTTTTTTTCCTATAGAATCTGATTTTTATTGACCTCATCTGTAAAAAATACTAAGTGGCTCCAATGAGCTGCAGGGCTGCAATGACACAGGCTCCGGTGTGTGTTGTGCAATAAAACCTCCTGTTCCAGTTAGGAGCACGGCCTGCCACACTTTGGTCAAATACAGCATGCTGTTATAAAGCAATATTTGATTAGCTCATGGAATTAATTAAAAAAAAAATGGGGAAGAGGTATGCAATGCACTGCAGAGAGGCTCTTTGGGGTTCTTCATGAGTGGGCTTCCAAGTAGGTATTTCATTGTGAGGGTGCAGCTCCTGTTCTCTTACCTTCTTTCCAGGCTAAGGGCTGCAGGTCTGATAATTCGTGAGGAAACCTCTCCTGGCTCCTGTGATTTATATACGAGTTCTATAAATCATATCAGCAATACAAATTCTTGTTGTCCATATACTAAAAAAAAAAAAAAAAAAGGCAAAGGCTCTTTCTCTGCTGTGATCTCAGGACTTAGCTTGCTGCTCTCTGCAACAATTCCTCACTCCTTCCTTCCAATTCACTGTGGTGACACTGTCACTTACAATAGGAAAACACAGCAGCAAAATCCCTTCCTTTTAAGCGAATTGCTGTTGGGTCTCGGAAGAGTTAACGAACTTTTATGGCGAGGTTCAGGCAGTTCTGACCCCTATGGTAATATTTCATCTAAGGTTACTGTTGGGAGAGAAATCAAATTTCAGCTGCAAGCGTGATTGACAGGTGAAA